CTGTCCAAACATAAATCAGGCTCTAGTGACATTTTTAAAGTTGTCTCATTTGACGGGACTAGAGATAGTAGAAGGAAGGATGGTTTGAATTTTCTCTCTAAATGAAATAATTTTATTTATAAAGAATCTCATGAAGTCATCACTACTTATAGTTGTAGGGATACATGGTTCAACAGAAACTGGACTTTTAATTAGTCTAGCAATAGTACTAAACAGAAACCTAGGGTTATTTTTATTCTCCTCTATTAAAGATGAGTAATATAAAGTTCTCCGTTCTAGAAGGGTTGTAAGCATCATCTCATCAAGGTTAAATGTCATCTCATCAAGGTTAAACATCTCATTGTGGTTAAAAGTCATCATGTCGAGATTAAATGCCATAGAGGTTGAATGTCTTCATGTCAAGGTTAAGCCCCCAGTATACTCCCGCATACGTCCGCTCACGCGTACGTACGCGTGTACTGTACGCAGAGGGTTCAGACTTCATGCTCAAGAGTCGACCCTGAGCAGCTGCAGAGCATCTTCACAGACAAAGGGCGTTTACCTTCGGGACAAATTGAGTTAGTTGATTGGTCATTTGCTGACACGCCTACTGGATTGATTGACAAGTCAAAAAAAAAAAAAGAGCACTGGCAGCCTCAGCTGCAGCAGTGTTCTGTGTTTATGTTGTGTTTATATTGTGTTTATATGTTGTTAATAAAAAGTTCTTAAAAAAAATAAAACAGGGAGCGCTGGTTCTGCAGCACACACATCAGACCAACCCACCAGGAAATCTCCAGACACTCCCACAGCCACGCTGGACCTGAGTTTAATTTGCTTGTGACAAATTCTTTCATTTCTCACCATTTCAGTCATGGCATCAACGGAGGAGGAAGAGATCACTTGCCGTTTGGCAAAAAAACAAAAGAAAAGGCCAGATCAGGGATGAAGAAGGGGAATTTAATACATTGGTGTCGCATACAAAACAGTCCTTTGCTGGGCAGTTTATTGTGCGACACCGCGTACGCATATGCGGTCGTAAAAATTGAGTTTTGCGCGGACACACCCTGGGGGGTACGCTCTTACCTCTGCGTACATGCGTACCTCCGCGTATGGACGTACGTGGGAGTATACTGGGGCCTTTAATTTGTGAAAAGAAACCATCATTGAACGGAGCGGAAGCCTCCATGTTCAACTGTCCCCCTCTTACAATGCTGTTATTGCTAGTATTACTCAGCCCCCTGTGAATAGAAAACACCTATCAGTCTGCTAACGATCCATCGTTAGGCTGATGGTCCTTCTTGATCATGTGAGCAGCTGGTTTTGGCTGTCAGCAGCAAAGTGGTTGATCCACTACGAGAAGGTGTTATTTATAAGACTGAGCTGAATACAGCACCTCAGACTGAAGAAGTCTTTCGGATGAAAGATGAAACGTTTCTACTTTTTTTGTTATTGTTTTTTGAATGTCCAGAGGACCAGACTTTAGTTTTTTAGATGTTTCTACCTGGATTGTTGAGCATGCATCAGGATATTTTGAACCACTTTGGCCAGGATTGCCTCAAACTAGTTAGAGAGTTTGAGAAAACAAGATCCTTCAGAAGGCACAGACCCAGCTGCTGAATGAACGGGTGAGACGGACCTATTTTACTATTGAGGTCTTGAAGGCCAAAGAAGAGCACATTGAACAACAACTAACAACGTGCCTAGATCAGACCACATTTCAGCAAGTGATGGACTGTACAGATCAGGCACGCTTAGCACAGCATGTCAAGTCCAAGACTTGACAACAAAACTTCTCAGTGAGGATTAGTCTAGCAATAGTACTAAACAGAAACCTAGGATTATTTTTATTCTCATCTCATTTTATTCTCATCTATTATTCTCATCCGATTGAGCCCGGATTGTGACTCGGAAGGCGTGACCCTAAAGCCAACTGGTAGACTTCAAGTAATGCTAGATAGTCTAGGATTTCCCTATTATAAATACCCAGGTACACCTGGCTTCAAATGACAAAAAACAGAAGTAGTGTACAAAATATATTTTATTTATTCCTTTCAACAACATTAAACACATTCCTTTATTATATATATGTAAAACCTAATAATTACAACCAAAGACAAAAATTAGCTAAACAAAACCCACTATAAAAAGAGTAGTTATGGTTAGGTGGCAACACAGAAAGTTTACTATGGTGGCTTTAAAGTGCTAGTGCTGAAGTGCTATTTCACTAACGGCACCCAACCAGCCATATGTGGCTATTCAAAAATATTTTCCTTAACAGCAGTAGAAATGTCCCACTTGCCATTCAGGGCTTGTTACATTGCCTGATGAGCACTGTACCAGCACTCACACTACAACCACATGCAGCAACAGACCAAACAGCCAACGCCCTAGAGAATCAAATGTTTGGCGTGTACACCTAGTGCTTATATACACTAATGAGCCAAGCAACACTGAAGGTGGAGGCGGGAAAACAGGGCAAGGTGTGTTCAGGGGCCCAACCAAGAGTGGAAATTTACAGCCAATTTTACATTGAACTAATAAACCACGCGGTTACAACTGATTGACAAACTCAGCTGGAGCAACACCACCAGCCTGATCAAGAAATCTCATCAGAGACTCTACTTCCTCAGACAGCTGAGACGAGCTGGTCTGGGAAGCTCAGTCCTCACCTCCTTCTACAGGTGTGCAGTGGAGAGCATCCTGTGCTCCAGCATCAACGTGTGGCATGGAGGCTGCACAGCTGCAGAAAGAAAAGCTTTGCAGAGAGTGGTGAAGGCTGCACAGAAGATGTTGGAGTCAGTCTCCCCACCATCACAGAAATCTACACCTCCAGATGCAGGAAGAGGGCCACCTGCATCATGAAGGACCCCACTCACCCAGCACACGCACTTTTTGCCCCACTCCCCTCAGGAAGGAGGTTGAGGAGCATTAAGTGTAGAACCACTAGACTGAGGAACAGCTTCTACCTTGAGACTGTTAGACTCATGAATCTCTAACTAGAATAATCACTGTGGAAAAAATCACATAATGTTGTTGCTGATCTGTTTCATGTTGATGTGTTCATGCGTGCTCATCTGCTCACACAGACTCATGCTCATGTTCATGCTGCTGCTCAACGTAATGTTTTTATGCTATTAGTGCTCAGTGTATTTTTAGTTGATGTTTTTCTTAGTTTATATCTTAGATGTTATCATTGTTTTTTTTTTTTTTACATGTTATTGTTGGATGTAACTGGGACCCTGTGTACAGTGTCTTGCAAAAGTATTCGTCTGCCTTGAACTTTTCAACCTTTTGCCACATTTCAGGCTTCAAACATAAAGATATAAAATTTTTATTTTTGTGAAGAATCAACAACAAGTGGGACACAATCGTGAAGTGGAATGAAATTTATTGGATGTGTCAAACTTTTTTAACAAATGAAAAACTGAAAAATGGGGCGTGCAGTATTATTCGGCCCCCCTTGCATTAATACTTTGTAGTGCCGCCTTTTGCTGCAGTTCCAGCTGCAAGTCTCTTGGGGTTTGTCTCTATCAGTTTTGAACATGGAGACACTGAAATTTTTGCCCATTCTTTCTGCAAAACAGCTCGAGCTCAGTGAGGTTGGATGGAGAGCGTTTGTGAACAGCAGTCTTCAGCTCTTTCCACAGATTCTCGATTGGATTCAGGTCTGGACTTTGACTTGGTCATTCCAACACCTGGATATGTTTATTTGTGAACCATTCCTTTGTAGATTTGGCTTTAAGTTTTGGATCATTGTCTTGTTGGAAGATAAATCTCCGTCCCAGTCTCAGGTCTCTTGCAGACTCAAACAGGTTTTCTTCCAGAATGGTCCTGTATTTGGCCCCATCCATCTTCCCATCAATTCTGACCATCTTCCCTGTCCCTGCTGACGAAAAGCAGGCCCAAACCATGATGCTGCCACCACCATGTTTGACAGTGGGGATGGTGTGTTCAGGGTGATGAGCTGTCTTGCTTTTCCGGCAAACATATCGTTTTGCATTGTGGCCAAACAGTTGGATTTTGGTTTCATGTGACCTGAGCACCTTCTTCCACATGTTTGGTGTCTCCCAGGTGCTTGTGTCAAACTTTAAACAACACTTTTTATGGAGATCTTTGAGAAATGGCTTTCTTCTTGCCACTCTTCCATAAAGTCCAGATTTGTGCAGTGTACGACTGATTGTTGTCCTATGGACAGACTCTCCCACCTCAGCTGTAGATCTCTGCAGTTCATCCAGAGTGATCATGGGTCTCTTGGCTGCATCTCTGATCAGTCTTCTCCTTGTTCCAGATGAAAGTTTAGAGGGACGGCCGGGTCTTGGTAGATCTGCAGTGGTCTGATACTCCTTCCATTTCAATATGATTGCTTGCACAGTGCTCCTTGGGATGTTTAAAGCTTGGGAATTTTTTTTGTATCGAAATCCGGCTTTAAACTTCTCAACAACAGTATCTTGGACCTGCCTGGTGTGTTCCTTGGTCTTCATGATGCTCTCTGCTCTTTGAACAGAACCCTGAGACTATCACAGAGCAGGTGCATTTATACAGAGACTTGATTACACACAGGTGGATTCTATTTATCATCATCAGTCATTTGGGACAACATTGAATCATTCATAAATCCTCACTGAACTTCTGGAGTGAGTTTGCTGCACTGAAAGTAAAGGGGCCCAATAATATTGCACGCCCCACTTTTAAGTTTTTTATTTGTTAAAAGAGTTTGACACATCCAATAAATTTCATTCCACTTCATGATTGTGTCCCACTTGTTGTTGATTCTTCAGAAAAATTAAAATTTTATATATTTATGTTTGAAGCCTGAAATGTGGCAAAAGGTTGAAAAGTTCAAGGGTGCCGAATACTTTCGCAAGGCACTGTACACAGTTTCGTTCCACCACATGTACCACATGTGGTGCAAACGACAATAAAGAATTTCTGACTCTGACATCAGCAGGTGTGTTAACAGGAGGAGGCGAAGTCAGGTACAAAGAGATGAAGTGTTTATGATGTTTTGTGTGTCCTGGCAGCCATCATAAAGTCATGAACCACAGCGACATGCATCACACGCACCATCTGCAGCACACCATGGCTCCGCCCACCAGCACTACACACGACCATGTAGGAGGGAATGATGGAGGCCACGGAGGTCATATGGGCATGGTGAGTGCCAGTAACCTGACCTCAGTCACATGACCCTCAGATATATAATCACATTGTGACGTTTGTTTTGGTTACTCAGGTGATGACTTTCTACTTCGGCTACAACAATGTGGAGCTGCTGTTCACGGGGTGGCTCATCAACTCACCTGGAGGTCAGAGTCACACGGCCATCGTGGCGGCTTTACACAGTTTATCATGACGACACACATTTTTTTGGTGCTGTTTTCTCTACGGGCTGCTGTTAACCCCACTCCTCCACTTCTTGTCCAATCAGAGATGGTTGGGGCCTGTATAGGTGTTTTCCTATTGGCTGTTTTGTATGAAGGCCTGAAGATTGGGCGCGAGGCACTGCTGCGACGCAGTCAGGTCAACGTGCGCTACAACTCGATGTCGCTGCCGGGAACCGACGGGACGATGCTGATGGAGACACACAAGACAGTTGGGTAGGTTCCTCTCACACATACACACAGGAAGTGGTGGAAGAAGGCGGAGTCAGTGTTTGAGTGATAGAACTGACTTTATGATGTTTCCTGCCAGCACAGTGATTGACAGACGGATGTCGACAAGTGGAGTATGGCAAGTAGGGCTTTAACAGAGTACTCGAGTAATCTACACATCGATTGCTAGGACATCTATCGAGGTTAAAAATGTAACGTCGAGTGTCCGTAGTGACGTCATATTATGTGACCACCGTATGACCGTAGGGGGCGGTGTTGCACTGTTGCAGGTCACAAGTATGGTGTAACACCGGGTCCAATCCACCGAACCAGAACCAGCTTCCTCTTGTTTCACAAACAAATAGCAAAAAATATTAATCTCTAAACCTATAAAAAAAATCTATAAACATATTAATCTCTAAAACTAAACTTAATGCACACCACAGCTGGCGGTGGTGCGGGGTGGTCGACCCCCCCCCCCCCCACACACACACTGTTAAGTTTCGTTTTTGACGTGCTGCATGTTTCTTCACGTTTGCAGTTTAATAATAATAATAACTAATAGTTAAATTTTTCCTGTGACTTATTTGCAGTATGATAAATGGTAGGAGCATAATATATGTTCCCAATGTTTTGTTGGTCTTTTTTTGTAAATAATTACCTTTTTTTTGCGGTTTTATTTATTTATTTATTTTTGTATCTTGAGATCTATGACGTCATAAAATACTTAAGTTCTACTCTGGTTTTATTATGTTAATGTCGAGTTAAAAAATTATATACTCGTTCAACCCCTAGTTCCATCTAATGAAATCCTAATTTCATCTGATAGAGTCTTCAGTCCATCCGGTGGAGGCCTCTGTTCATCATGGTGTCGGTAGTTCTCGATCCATCATAGTGTCAGTAGTCCTCGATCCATCATGGTGTCGGTAGTCCTCGGTCCATCATGGTGTCGGTAGTCCTCGGTCCATCATGGTGTCGGTAGTCCTCGGTCCATCATGGTGT